TTTTCTGGCTCGGCTTTTTTCTTCCTTCCTTCCTTCTCGGCGGTATTTCTGGCATCTTTTCCACTGGCCTGCTGCTTTCCTTGGTGGGACCGTCTCTCGGCGCACGCCTTCGTGCTCGCTCCAGCTTCGGCTCTGTCCTGACCGGCTCCGCCGCGCTCGCAATCCACGTCACCGTGTGTCGCCACTGGTCTCCACCGCAGTCGTCTGCCGCCAGGGGTCGCTCTCTCGATCTTTCCGCACCATGGCATCTTAGGCTCTGCCGCCGCCGCCATTGATGTTCTCAGCGCTCGCTTGCTCGCTCGCTGCTCGCTGCCGCAACCACCACATACCTCGTACAGAGGCGGGTGCCCCCCACCCTTCTAAGGGTGGGTACCCATTTGCCTACTTGCTAGATTTAATTGCTTTGGGGCCGCTGGGTTCTCCTCATTTTGATAAACATTTAGAAATCATTTTCATTTCAGAGTAGACCTTCTCTCTACTCTTATGAAAAAAAGGAGAGACTTTGACTTTTTAAGACAGATTTTACTGAAGAAATAAATAAAATACTGTTGGAAGATTCCGTTTGCACTGGAAATGTACCTACCAAAGGGCAGACGAACTATAACCAGGCAACGCTTTTTTATTTCAGGGCAATTTAAACCCCTGAATAGATGTTTGCTAAGACTGGGATTTTTCTGCAACCCTAGGGGGTGTCCGAAGTGTGCAGAAAAATCTCTTTACCCTCCATCTGTGGAAATAAATATCCGCACATAGGGGGCATAATTGGGAATTAGATATGTAGATAAGAACTACCAGACAGCTAAACATATATTGATAAATTGTTTACAAAGCCCAGTTGCGGTTGGCACATGCAAGACAAAAAATTGCATTAGTTCAGCTTTACTGGCCCAGAGAATACAAGAAAGAAAGAGAGATTTTGCAGAAAGAGGAGGTGAATTGGGGTAGGGATGCTTGTGAATTTCTTACCCCTGTTTTTCAACATCAAAATCCCCATTTTGTTTTCCATTTTTCCTTGAGAAAATCAGATCTGTAATTCTTTATTTTAATGCCATTTTGTTTCTTTGCACCAGATTTTCCCATGAAATGTACTCATTTTTCAACCTTATTTTGTGTGACAGTAAATCAGCATTATACATGCATTTCATGTATAAATGGTCACGTAAATTGTGTATAAGAAACTATACAACATGTAAAACACAATGCAAACTTACTTTTAAAAAACTGAAAAGCACAGCATGGTAACTGTTAATAAAACAATAAATGATCATGAAAATAAATTAAGTAGGATTTGTTTGCTCATCTCTAATGTTGACCCCAAAAGTTATGGTCGACCCCAAAAGTTATAATATCTACAAATGGATACTCAGATTTCATCTGTAGTGCATAGCACCTTTAACCACTTTGACAGCTGCATTGACAGCAGCCCTACTTTGAGAAGTGTGATCTGTATATTGTTATTGATGCACTAGTTGCATCCTTGTTATGTGCACAAGTTCTGTCCAGTTGCAACTGACTTACAGCTACCTCAGTAAGGGACGTTCAAGGCAAGTGAGAAGCAGAGGTGGTTTACCATTGCATTCCTCTGCAGATTCTTCCTTGGTGATCTTCCTTCTGAGTACCAACCCTGCTTAGCTTCTGAGATCTGATGAGATCAGAATATACCATACCATTCCACATCCCCAAATCCTTTTTTGGCAACTTCAGCGTACTTAATCTGGGAATGTCAGTAGCTAGATTGTTTATAATCACCAGTTAGAGGGAACACATCTGATCTGAACAGTGCAGCTCAACTGGCTCTCAGTTTATATCCAAGGCCAGATTAAAGTGTGGGTTCTTACCTTTGGAGCACTAAATTATGTCAGTCAGGGTACCATCTACCGTTATGTGAGCCTTGCCAATACTCATCGTTATCATTACCATGTTCTTCCTTCCACTGAGGACAGGGTCTTCTCTTTTGTGGCACCTCTTTTGTGGAATGCCTTCATTGTAATGATCTAGCTAGCACTGAAAGTAATGAGTATTGTTGAATTTTTTCTTTTTGCTCAAGCCTCTTCATTTTTTTGGAAAAAAAATCTCTATAGGCTGCAGTCTTTCTTAGTAAGAAAGCAATGTGAACTATTTTAGAAGACAAATAACAACAAGCCAATGAGGTGGATTAGGCTGAGAGTGTGTATCCAGACCAAGTTCACCCAGCACATTTCCTTTGTAGCAAGTTGTAGTTATTTCTCTGAGGAAAACTGTAGTTTTGTAGACAAACACATGGCCCTCAGTCTGTGTCAGAATGCCTTCTCATGTTCTTGACCAGCACATGAAACAACTTATGTACCAAAGGTAGCAATGCCCAGCCATTTCATGTTTTTCCCTGGTTCCTAGGCTTAGAACACTGAGCATTAGATTTCTGTAATGAATGTCAATACATCAAAAGTAGGTTTGCAGTTTACAGATACACACCTGAACAATATACTCAAGATTGCTATAACGCGGACATTTTGATGCAATAATTCAGAGCAAGAGGTATCAAATACCCAAGAATGTTAAATAGACAAAATATTGCAAGAGTGCTAGTGTTTTAAGCAAGTTTTATTTAAAGTTTTTAAAAATATTTAATTGTGTTTGTCTGTGTCCTTATTTATATCTCTGCTATGTGGCATTACAATTTATGAAACATACAGCCCGGCCCAACAAGGTCTCATTTATGTCAGATCTGGCCCTCATAACAAGTGAGTTCAACACCCCTGAGCTAGATATTCTACAGCATATTGTTGTTACACCCAGGTTGTAACAAAATAGTGGGAAAAGCAAAAAAACAACCATCAATGGATGAATGGTCAAGAAATGTATGGAATATTGTAATGTTCCCAGAGTTACTGACCATCATAGCTGGATCCACACTGTGTTGGTTACTGCGGTACTGTAATGGTGCACTTCCTGAATTTTCCTGTCCAGACCAGAGGAGGTGAACCACTGTCATGGCATAGTATAAGTGGATCCACTCTACATAAAAAAGACAGTACTTGACAGGCCATCACACTCAAATGCGACCAATTAACAGAACACCGTGGCCGGAATGAGCTCCCAGCCCTATGTCCCAGCTCCCGCCCACCCAGCGGCTCGAAAGCCTGTTATAGGGCAAGTAGACAAATGGGTACCTGCTCTTAGAGTGGGGGGGCACCCGTCCTTCATGGCGTGGTGGCGGCGTGAGCAGTGGAGCGGCGGTGGCGGAAAACATGGCTGTAGTTGGCGAGTCGAGCGAGAGAGCAGAGGCTGGGCCAGCGGAGCATAGAGGCGGGGCAACACGGCAGGCCGAAGCCGATTGGACAGAGGCCGGCTGCGGGAGCACGCGCTGATGTGTGCTTGGCCCAGGCCTGGGAGGAGTCGCGACGACTGAAAGAAGACCTGCACCAGGGAGACGTCGTTGCTGGACTGGAAAAAGACCGCCCGCAGAAAGACCACAATAACGAAGTCTCTGCTTCAGGGTGCCTGTTAGGTTAGTCACTTCCCCCATTGTATGTGTGTGTGGCCTTAGGTAGGAATTGTATCAAATGTATAATGTAAACTGCTCAGAGCCCTTAGGGGGGTGAGCGGTATATAAATCGAAGGAAATAAATAAATAAACTCTGGCATGGGACTGCACAGACAGAGAAGAGGCTGGATTCTCAGTGGCTGTGATCATCAGAGGCAGATAGCATATTTGGTCCCCACTGGAGTGGTATTCCTTTGTTTGCACCCTCTTGTTTTCCCCCAGATAAGTGAGTGATGTACATATATTTCTATGAGGAAGGAAGTAAAGTGCAGTGTTTGGAGGCACCAACAGCTTCATCCTCTCTGATCAGGGCACATGTAGATACCCTGCATCTCCAGTAAGCCCCCGTGGTATTGAAGCTCTGCCTGCTTATGCTAACTTGTCACGTTCAACACTGTAATGATTGCTTGTTTTATGAGAGTGTGTGCGCCTTTAAATGTTTGGTTGAAGTGTGGTGACAAGTAGACTAGAGTGATTGAGAGAAACAAATGTGCTGTGATTGGTGGATGACAGTGTGGGAGGAGTTTTTGAAAGGAATCTCTCTGTGTGTGTGTCAGTTATGAAAGTCAGTTGGAATTGTTCAGTTGGTGTATATAGTTCTGTGTGAGATCTCAAAGACTGGCTTTTCCAGTGCGGAAAGGAAATCCACTTGCAAGCAGTCACTGAAGGGCATTATTCAATGTGTGTGGAAGCAGCCTATGTTGGCCTGCTGGATGGTTTGGAAAAGAGATGGACTCCCAAGTTCCACAAGAAGTTTGAATGGTAAATTCCACAAGAAGTTTGAATGGTAAGTTCCACAAGAAGTTTGAATGGTAAATTTTAGAAGCAGAAGATGTAACTTAAAATGCAATCTTTTGTGAGAGAGTGAGTAACTCTTGACTGGCACCCCAACCTTTCATATAAGCAACTAATGGGACACGCTGATGCAATTCCCTGTATTTCACGTTATCCCATGCTCCCAATCTAATGCCTCAGGACACAGCTAGAAATACTTGCAAGGAAAGAACTCTGTCCCATGGGCTACCCAGGCCCAAATACAGGATCACTGCAGGAAATGGATTACTTTCAGGAATTCAGTGCATCGAATCCTTGAGCCCAGGTCCAAGAAGAAAGTTAGGTTGCCTGAATGAATGAACAATCTCAGTGAACACATGAAACTGCCTTATACCAAGTCTATCAAAGTCAGTACTGTCTACTCTGACTAGCAGTCGTTCTCCAGACGCCCAGGTAGTTATCGACTGCCTGGTTCATTTAACTGGTGATGACACATTACAAACCTTGGATCTTCAGCATGCAAGCAGATGCTCTATCCTTGACCCATAACCCTTCCATTTTCTTTTATTGCTGCCCAGCTTTTGAGAATGAGGTGGTCTCTTTCAGCATTCCCCGATACAGACTCGCGAGCAAGGCAAATGGGGTGGAGATGATTAGATTATAATCCTTAACGACTATCCTGACTTGTCTTTTGCACCTCTAGATAACACAGCCAGTATCCTGACCCGAAGAAGGAAATTTAGTCGGACGACCCAGGATGTGTATTACCTCCCTGTCATGATCTCTGATGAGGGGATCCCTTCTCTCAGCAGCAGCGCCACCCTTGTGATCCGCGTGTGTGCATGCGAAAGAGATGGGCGTGTGCGGACCTGCACTGCCGAAGCCTTCCTCTCCTCCGCAGGGCTGAGTACGGGAGCCTTGATTGCCATCCTGTTGTGTGTCGTCATCCTCCTGGGTAAGCCTGTTGGAGAATTAAATACCGATGTCCTTTCCGTATCTTTTAGATGATTGCAGCCGCGCTATGGCTTTTAAGTATAATGCCATTCTGAACTGCTTGTGATAGGAGGTAATTAGAAATACAAAGCATTGACTGGGGGGGGTTTGCTAAAATTAATAGGCTTTGCTAAAATAGATGGGCCTCTGAAGCAGGCAGCCGAACAGCTGGCGTCCGGTGCAATTAATTTAACCACGGTTGCTGAGTAATTAGCGTTGTCGATCTACTCAGGTAATTTGGTCAGATCTCAGGACTTGAGTTGCGTGTCCGACACTCTTGGGGAAAAGTGACAAAGAGAGAAGATGAAGAGAATGTTTTTGAAATAGATTCCACTGCCAGAAGTGCTATCCGGGCTGTATGAAAGCCGTTTGCTAATTATCTCTGCGGGATGAGCTGATAACAACACAAAACCTCTTCGAGAGGGGCAGGGGACACAGAAGGCAAGAATATGATTCCATTAGATAAATGCCCTTGGAAATGCATTTCCTCTCACCCAGACTAATTTGAATAGTGCCCATTAGCTAGCTAATATTCTCATTTGGCCAAGAGGCAGCATTTTTCAAGTATACATACGCACATGCAAACATATATACACACACAGCTTGATGATAAAGCCCTTGGTGGAAAGCCAGTACTACACACAGGGAATGACCCGGATATAATTTTATTTTGAATTAAAATCAGTGCAGTAGGATCCTATGAATGGAAGGAGTTTGTGGAGGAGATCTCTCCCTTTTTCCTTGGCAGCTGCCTCCTGTGTCCACTGGAGAGCTGCTCCTGAGAGCTAGGAAACCCTCATGAACTGAGAGGGCTGCAACAACATGGGGGCTGGAGAAAGAACCTCCCCCCCCGCATGCAACCTCTTTCTCATCTTGTGAAACACCTGCTCAAGAGGTGTGGGGGTGATTCTGTCTTCCACTTTGCTGACCACAGAAGGAGCTAAGCATTTTAATGCAAAGCACTGTAATTCTGCTACTTGTCAGATAGTAAATCATCCATTTTTTCTATTCTGGAATTGTAGGCACTTGGTACGTGTCTGGAAAGGACAGTTGTAGGATCTTCTGTATTTCTGGGGAGGGGTCACTGAGTTGAACTAGCAGCCTTCCAGGTCACAGCTAGTGCTAGACCAGCCAGGCCTAAGATCTTTTCCAGAAGCAGAAAAAGATTACTTTGGCTTGAATGGTGTGGTGTATGGTAGGGTATGGTTCAAAAGCACAATATTTTGTGTCAGTTTTGTTGGTTGCAATACAAGGTATTCTCTTCAAATGCCAGAAAATGTTCTTTACTTATGTTACGTAAGATGATAGGGGAACAATGTTGTTTTATCGTAGAGCTCCGTCAGTATCTCAAAAAAGGAAACTGTATTGAAAATTTGGTAATACATGGATTTCCTTCAATCCGTTAAACAACGAATAGTGGATCTTTTAAAAAGTCAGATGCATAATGTACTAAAAATCCTTTTATCAAGCAGCCTTCCTAACTGATTCCTATCCTGAATTTTCCCATCAGCAATTGTGGTCCTTTTCATTACACTAAGACGCAGCAAAAAGGAGCCTCTGATAATTTCAGAAGAGGATGTCCGGGAAAACGTTGTCACCTATGACGATGAGGGCGGAGGCGAGGAGGACACGGAAGCTTTTGACATTACTGCTCTGCGGAACCCGTCGGCAGCTGAAGAACTGAAGTATCGGAGGGATGTTCGGCCTGAAGTGAAGCCCATGCCCAAACATCCCGCTTCATCCAGCCTTGACACCATAGATGTTCAGGAATTTATTAAACAAAGACTGGCTGAAGCGGACCTTGACCCTAGCGTACCGCCATATGATTCTCTACAGACATACGCGTATGAGGGTCAAAGGTCAGAAGCGGGATCTGTCAGTTCTTTGGATTCCGCTACCACACATTCCGACCAGGATTATAATTACCTTGGTGACTGGGGACCAGAGTTTAAGAAGCTAGCTGAAATTTATGGAGAAATAGAATCTGAAAGAACAACTTAATTAATTCTTCTGCAAACAAGGAACATTTTAGTTCCCCCAAGCAACTTGGGGGCATAATGACAACAGTCGTTAAAAAAGAGAGAGAATATATATATATATATGAATACAGTACTTGGAACAAACTGAGCAGGATGCGCACATTTACTGTAGAAACAAGTGCCCTTCTCGCATTTGAAACTGGGTTCTTCAATTGGAAGGAAGTAAAAAAAAATTGGGGGAAATATATACCCCAGAAAGAAGATTGTCCCTTTGTGTATATTTTTAATTGCTCAATACAGTCCGTGGTGCAGTATCATTAAAGATACCTTAAGTAAACCAAGCAATGGCCAATATTATTGCAGTTTCCCCTAAATATACCAGAGCTACAGTGAGCTTCTAGGAATGCCTAAAAGAACTCGGGATGGTTGGGATGGTTTTGCCATTGTGTGTCTAACTCTGTTTATAAGCTTAAGGTAGCCACCGGGAGGGTAATTTACTTTGGATTTACTAAACCTCAGAAATCCTATTTTCTTTTCCAGGAATGTGCATTGGAATTATCTTGTCAAGTGTCACATTGGCGTCTGCCCTTTACTAACATGCAGCTGAATTGTACTTAAACACCAGACTCTCTTGTGGAATGTAACAATTCACTAGGCCAAACATAAATCTTTCCATCCATGAAGGAGGTAATGAAGCACCAGTTAATTGGTAGTTTATTGAAGCAGGTTTATAATCACCCCCACCCTGGATTTGTATTGATTGGCATTGAAACGGCTGCTTCTGTTTTAGAGTAACCGCATTGGGTACAGTTTTTAACAAAAGAGGGGCCGTTTCTTTCTTTTCTCCAGTGAAGAAGAAGATTAATGAGATTGGTTTAAAAAGAAATTGTTCTATTATGTGTTTGGCTATGCAAAAGCTCAGACTGACTGGTCTTCCTTGGGACTGGTGAATGTAGATAAGACAGACTGCTCTCAATCCCAAAATGAAACAGTCACATGATAAGGTGTTATAAGGTTTGATCCAGCCAGTTTTTTTACCCAATCTCCCTTATTTCCCTTCCTTACTACAGCCTCCGTCCCATATGGCTTTGGATCCCCACCATAGCCTTTTTAGTGGTTGAAGGAGACCATCTCCTCTCTTTGTCACAAGTGGAGCTGGTTGGATCCAACCCACTGTCAGAGCCATATCTTAACATGAGAGAGCACCGATGACCGGGCATTTCTGGTGTAATCTCCAATGAATTCATCTGAAGGTATATAATGTAAATCCCCATATATGAAGTTATGAATGTCTGGGTCATTCAGCACAACGACCCAACATTCAGCACTAGTACAAGACACCGATGCCACACAGGAGAACGATAAAAGAGCTCCATTTTATTAAACCTTTCTGCTAAAAGTTTTAGAACACCTGTTGTTAGTTTGGCAACACCCAGCATGTTTCGAGGGAGGATGCTTGTGTTTTATGTCCAGTTATTTTAATTAATAGATGAATGTGTGTTAGAGGTGTACTGTTTAATTTATCGTATGTATATTTTATGCTACTTTTGTCCCATTTCAAGCCAGCGTCACAGTGATGAAGAAGTTTTGATCCTTCGAAACATGTTGGGTGATTCCATAACAACAGCAATAAATTTTGAGAAAGAAACACACTTCTGTAGATCTTTTTTGCCGCATCACTAGTGTAGCCTGCGCTTTTGAAACGCCTGAACGAGGAGCTACCAGGGGCCCTCCTCTCGAAGGAGAAGTATGATGATTATGATGAACCCAGTGCTAAAAGGCTGGAACACCAAGTAGGGTTTCAGGTAGGCCTGTGAATGTATGACCGTGAAAGCATGGAAAAGTTATTTCAAAGTTCATTGTACAAAATCCCCAGGTCCTGTTTGGAGTATCAAAATGGAGACCTGTTCAAAGATCCTTTCCTGGATAGGTTACATAGTGAATCATCATTCTTTGCCAGCAGGAGATCCCAGGTAGGACCTCTGGAATCTCCAGGTAAGGGATATTTTGAGTAACGGGTGCTGAGATAGTCTCAGGTGGGTAACCATGTTTTTATTTATGTATTTGTTTAATTCACTTGCACCCTGCCTTTCTCCCCCGTGGGGTCCCAAGGCAGCTCACAGTGTTCTCCTCTCCTCCATTACATCCTCACAACAGTTGTGTGGGGTGCCTTGGGCTCCGGGAGTATGAAAGGCCCAAGGTCACCCATTTCCATAGCACGAGTGGGGATTCAAACCCAGGTCTCCCAGATACTAGTCTGACACTCTTAACAACGACACCATGTTGGCTCCCCTTTGTGATGCGTGAGCACCAAGACTTCTGGATAATGTTACGATCTGCGAAAAGGCCCCAAGCAGCCTGCAAAAGGCAGGTAAGCCCCTGAAAGCCTGTTGGGCCGAAAAGCCTGAGTCAAGCCGAAAAATAAAAGGCAAGACATTTTTTTTCTCTTCTTGCGAAATCGACTTCCTGTTGTTCGCTCGTTAACATTAGAAAGTTACAGATTTGCGCAATCTGAACAGCTGGTCTCCAGCTGTTGGCTGGGAGTTACAGGAGGCAGGGAGGGGGGAGTTCGAATGAGTTTACCGATGAAGCTGCAAGCGGGATTTGTATCAGAAAGGAATAAAATCCTTCTCATTCCCATTTAGACTTCATATATATATTCATATACAGTCATTAACAGTTTATGACAAGTTTATAACCATGCACATTATACATAAACCATATCTACTGGTTATAGGAGCACAGTCCATGGAGATCTACTATGGGAGAACACAGGGCTTTCCAAAGACACAGGACTTTTGGAAATGTGTGCTAAGTGCCGGAACCTCCAAATTAGGCGAGTTTGCATAATGTCTTACATGAGACATATGTCAGGTCGGGCTGACCCAGGAAGAATAGCGATAATGGAAAGACCATCAAGTTGGGGGATGTGGGGATTTTCCAGGACCCCTTAAAACAACAGATGTGGGTACTGGGAAGTTTGCACAACACACCAAATAAGGAAGTTTGCACAACAAGACACTTAAATGGGAGCTCAGGTTGACCTAAACAGCTATAAACATTGGAAAGACCCCGATCATTAGGGAACAAACTCAGCTGTTTTCAATTGATTAGAGAAACAATCTAAATATCAAACATTTCTGATTGATCAACACTGATCAACAGTGTTGAGTAAACAGAATTGGGAAAAAAGGATATAAGATGGTGAATTGATATCGGGGGGGGGGGTCCAGAGCAGAGAGAGAAAGGGCGGCCCAGAGAAGGCAGGCAACCCTTGTCCCAAGCTCTGATCTCCAAAGAAACAGAAGCAGCCCCACCTGAAGTCAACATCAGTGTTGAGCAATCATGTCTCGACTCTTAGAGTCAAGTTGTAATGGGCAAAGATTATTAAAAGCTGATGCTATGTTTAAAATAAAACCCTTTAAAATTACAGAATTGTGTCTGGTCTTCCTTCTGTTAAGAGACAAGGTCCGTTATACATGCAGAGAAATATGCAAAAGATCCTGTTAGCACCAGCAAGTAGCTTGGGCCAAAAGATGAAAGGCTAACAGACTGGTGGAGAATGCGGGCAGCTATTTACTCTGCATAACGGAGGCTTGACTTTTGACAAACAGGAAATTCCAGACTTTAAATTGTTATACTATAGCACAGACATTTTAAATAGAGCAATGGGGAACAATAAATCTTCTAGCGTGCTATCAGAACGGAGACTAGCCAAGCGATTCAAAATAACAAAAACCTCACAGCCAGACAAAAAACAGGAAGAAGTAACAGACCCTTTGCAAAATTGGGTAGAGTCCAAAGGGACTGTCGGTTTAATCCAGGAAGAAATGTTTCAGGGAAAGAATCCGACAGAAGAGGCCAGCACTATTTTTAAACAAATTAAGGAATTAACTAGGAATAGGACACAGGTGGAAAAAGCCGGGAGGTGGACGTTGTGGCTGCTTGCCAAGAAGCAAAAAACTATGTTAGATGAATGCAAATTCAAGATCCAGGATTTAGAATCCCAGATTGAGAAATTAAGAGAGAAGGAGAATTTAAGAAAGACTCAATATCTGGACAGTGTTGCGCAGAATTTACAGAATTCATCTGCCCTGCACCAATTAACGGAAGAGGCTGACTCTTGGAGGGACCAGGCCAAAGACGCCCAGAATAAATTAACCCTTTTGGAAACCCAGCTGGCAGACGCCCAATCGGCTGTTAAGGCTGTTACACAGCTTTCTAAGACGGAAGTTGATAGTAACCAGGATCATTCCCAATGCCAGAATAAGATCCAGAAATTAAAAGAGGCTTTAAGTGTTAAAAAAGGAGTGGTGGCTGCATTTGCAGCAGGGGTTGGACCACACAGTGGGTTAGAGATGAATCCAGAATGTGATCCCGATCAGACAGATGATTGTCAAGATATATGGGAAAATTTCTTTGCAGACCGTACAAAGGCTGCACTACAAGATTGGGAGACAGAAAGGGACAAAATCAGCGTTGCCCTGTTGTTCCTGTAATCAGGAAATCAATTCAAACAGATAGAAATGTGAGAGGCCACATTACAACAGATACAATTGAGGAAACGGTCCTGATGAAATTAGCGGATTTGCAGGTCCTTGCTCAAAAGGTAGGGAAGCTGAACCCTGATACAGCCTTAGAATGGATGTTTGAAGTGTCCAGACAGACAGATTTATATGAGGATGATTTGAAACGATTGGCACGTCAATGCTCAACCCCAGACACTTGGGCAACCATCCAGCAATATTTGAGAGATGCCCCAGCTGGCATCGGCAGCTTTTGGGCTGGCTGCATGCAAGCTTTGATGCCCTATCGGAGCCTCTCTAAAGCTTTTTATGCGGAAGAGCAGAAAGCTGATGAGTCCCCAGAGATTTATGTAAAACAGAAGGAATTGCTGGGGGTTGCATCAGGGGTAGTGCATATGATTTGGGGAGTCCTGGATTACGACACTGTAGAATTTAAAAGAGAACTTGTGGCCGGTTTGAACGTGGCGTGCAAAATTATGATGGGACCTATCACAGT